ACTTCAGAAGAACCAGATTCCACTTCTGTGGCCAGGACTTTTATGTTATGACTGGTCCGATTGTTTTACCCTGCGTTCTATGCTACTAAACCTTGGATCATTCCTAAAGTACAAATTCTGTTCTCGAACCACAAACAAGGCTAAAAGATCGGAGGAAATTCAGTGAATATACAGGATTGAGATTGGGTATTTTCAAAAGTCTTGAGCTTTATCATGCAATTACTCAAGAAATAGGATTTTTTTTTAATGATCTTGCCAGCATTTTAACTTACATGCTTATTAAGTGGCACTGCTCAAATAACTACAGAGTATGCATGGAAATATTTGCTGTCTGAATAGTTTGGAGATTCAAAGAAAAAAATCAAGCTTCAGAGGTATTAAATTTTGACATGCAGAAAAGTTTTTGCTTTGTTCTTAACTGCAGCGTTATATATTTAAATCCGACTTAAAGTGTTATATGTCCTGGGCCCACCTTAATAGTTGTGCTGTATAGAAGTGTAATGAGAAGTAAATTTTCAGTTAGGGTCCCATTAAGTGACATATAATCCTTCTTTAATGTAATAGAGGCTATGTTGTTGCTGTTCAAATCTCCTACAAGCAGATTTTAAACCATTTTTGGTCTATTTCTTTGGATCTAATGGAATGACTCTTAACTGTTCATTGTTTTCATTGTTTCTCATACTCTTCATTATTTTAAGGTCTAGAATTAGTCTATAAGTGGTTGTTGTGATTACTCAGCTTATCCTAACTTTTATATATCATATATATTTCTACTTCGGTGTTTTAATTAGTATTTAGAGATAAAACTCTAACTGAACCCATCTGTAATTTCTAAGCTAACCTTATTACTGGAAGAAGAATTCTACCGCATCAAACCAGACTTTTCCTAGTCCCTGAGACCCTAACTTGTGAGGTATTTTAGTAACATCACAAGTCAGGCTCTTGGGACCTAGGCGGAGGGGAACAGCAGCTTTGGACCTTATTGATTGTCTGCAGTTACCACCAGAACAAAAGGACATACATAGATTCTGCCTAGAAAAAAAGAACAATGCTTTTCTTTATAATCAACAATGTCTTCACCATGACCCACCCCCAAAAATACTATTGTCAGAATCTGTACTCTCAAGTGATTACACAGTTGCACTGAAATAGCATTTGTATTATATTATACAGATCATACAAAAGCAACATAAGAAATCTGTGTAAGAAACAAAATTAAAATATAAGTATTTTTAAATACTTCTTTTGCTATATTTTTAAGTGGCTAGATAAGAAAGTACCTCCTTAGGTAATGAAGAGAGTTGTTTATATTTATAACTTGTTTCATATGCATCGAAATACATACATTAGCTACTTAAATCCTGCATGTCTCCATATAACTGTGACTTCGAATATGTAATATATAGCTATAATCATGCTTGAGGCCTGGAAATAACATGATTTACAATCTTCTTTACTGCCTCTATTAGATTTAACAACTGATTTAAGAAGAATGCTGTTTTGTACGTGGTATTTATTGCTAGAGTTTTCCTAAGTCTTTTACCCAAACAAAATATCTTGCATGTCATAGCAATTCTCTTGTTGTAAGAGTCCAAGAGTGAAAGTTGTCATCAATAATTTGGGCAATATGGTTCTTTTAGTTTTTAAATTTTACTTTGTACATAACATGGACCTACGTGAGATAAAACAGTAAACACCACCTATGAAGTCATACTGCTCTAGTTTTATCAGCTGAATCTGAACTGCATTAAAACTGTTTGATAAGAATTTTAGTTTAATCAGAGGTAACTATTCCAACCATAGCTATTGTGTTATATTTGAGCATTTAATAGCCAATTGCTGCATCAGATATGTATTTTTTGACTATAGAATCGATAGACCATATCTATTTTAAAATTTTACAATAGTATTACAAATATCAAGATTCAAAATGGAGATGAGAGACTTTCCATAATAGAAGAAACAAAGTGACTTTATTCTTTTAACTCTATTGCCTTACATGGGTACCATAAATTATGTCTTCTGCATTGTTAAAATAAATTTATGAATATATTTTAGAATACTGTATGGAGTCTTTGTTCACCTTTTAAAAAATTTGTTAAAATTATTGATGATTTGAAATATCATAGAATGCAATTCATCTATGAGTTACATTTATTAACAAATTAATATAACAATATCATAAACATGCCTCATCTGTACAAGGCATGTAGAGTATATTTAAGCATGTATTCACATATACCTATTCAGATTCTTTATTTATTATATCACTTTATTTATCTAGAAGCTCTGAAATTTGAGGTGTGTTTATGTGTATATAAACATAGGTATTAAAGCTCCAAATGAAAGCAGGTAATACAGACTGTAAAGATTTTTGGTAGTATTTATCTTTCACTCCTTTGAACCTGATTCTAGTTGTAATTGAACATTTTTAAAAGTCATAAGTTTCTCAGTACAAAGAAATCTAAGTATGTGTATCTATATGGACACAGAAACTTGATTACAGTTCATTGCAATGTTCACACAGTGGGTCAGAAGCTACCTGTTATACAAAACAGTGTCACACACAAGGAAATGTTTTGTGACATCTATTATAACATAATCATAAATAATATGTGTAAGATGCTCCATCAATTTGCTTCCGAAATAATGTAAGAGATAGATGTTTACTGGTTACAGTGATATCAGATATAGGCTATTACAAATACAAAATTTTCTTTTATGTTATCATATTCATGAAATACACTATATATTAACTTCTGTTTCATAAAAGAAATATATCAAAGTTGAGTTTGGAATACAGTGAGGTTTACTCATGTTCCTCATAAACATATAAAATATGTTTTTTATTGATAGTCTTGCACTATTTGAGTCTTCTCTATGTAACCTTCATATGGGAACTGTCTTTTGTGAGAGCATCTTTGATAAAGCTCTTCTCTTACTCCATAAAGGTGTGTATAGAGTTAAGTGAGTGACTTTGTTTACATAAGCTACTGTATACTGTATGTGTATAGACACATGCCACTTTTTCTGCATTTCTATCTCAGCTGTCACAGAATGATATTGTTTGGGCTTTATGATGTGATTTGGAAAATCAGATCATACTAAGCTTAAAATAAAAGGAGAGATCTACAACAAAGAGCGCGAAAATGATGTGTATTGCATACAAAGAAAAGCAGTGATATTAACAATTCGATGGCTTCCTGGTTAGGAGACCAGCCTGAGCCAGACGCATATATTAAGGGGCTGTCTGCTGCCGATGTGAGCTTGCTCAATGCGGTGGAAATGAGGAATCGCCTCCTCTCTGACACCAGCTTATTTGTACATATTAATTTGGAAATAGCAAATCACTGTTTTACATAAATATACTAACCCCTGCTTGATTCATTTTATTTCTCATATTGTTTGCTAATTTACTGGGAACTTCAAGTTCCTTCTTTAAAAAAAAATCATCACTCAACTTAAACATCTACCAAACGCCAATGAAGTATTAGTTTTTCTTTTGTTTCTTTTGTATTGCTCTGATAATATTGTGATACTCATGCTTTTAACTTTTAGTCTCTCTAAGGAAAACATCAATTTTCCAAAATAGCATTTTTTTAAAGGCTTTTAGGATCCATCAAGTAAGCCACTCTGGAATTTTGCCAAATCTAAATACGATTATATTTCATTTCAGGATTCATAAGATCAATATCTTTCTCAGTATAAAAGTTCTAAACACTTTAGTATTCCAGTGAAGCTACAGAAGAGGTGTAGACATATTCTTAAAATCATTTAAGCATTAGGCTACATGAATAATGTCTTGAATAGGAATATGCATCTCAGGGGAATTATAGTACAAGTTAATTACTAATGAAATTAGAAAGGGTATGTTCTACCTTAAACCCTTCAAATGGGCATGCTGGTACATGTGCCTAGGCTTGGTCTAATACACCTTAAGTATGTAAATGGTTTTACAGACTGTCATGTTTGGATGAGTTTTGAGAAAAGCAGTACAGAAAGGGTTAGCTGATGGCCAAATTTTCTTGCCATTTACACATGCAGTGCAGCCTACATTTTTGAAGGCAGCAAATGCAGGCATCATTTTGATTGCTTGGATTCTTTTGTTTAATTTTTTCCTAGATGTTTAACTTAGCACTCAGATCCCACTGATCCCTTAGTGACTGCATTTGGAAAAAGGAAACAAAGTTCCTAATATAGAGAAGTTTTTAAAAGAATCTTGGACATTTGTAAACACTTGAAAAATAGACTTTTTTAGTGTAACTCTGCATATGTATATTTATTATGCAGAAATTTAAGTACCATTATATCTGTGTCATCTTCATATTTAGTTTTCTTATCTATCAATGACCAAACACTGTGTAATTGATATATACACATGCACACATACATATGTTTGTTTCTTCTGTATGTCTTCATTTCTTAAAAAGGTTTAGCAAAAACAGTATAAAAATTGAAACGTCCTCCTAAAATCATCCTTACCATTTCTTTAATGAGCTAGTTTCAATTCTCATTGAATGTTGCTTTTTCCCATATCTCTCTGTGTTAAATGTCGCTTTATCAGATGAAGTACATTATCAGCCAGTAATATTAACTTACATGTAATATTTTACTTAAGAAAATTTGAGAGCAAGTGGAAGTTAAAGGTAATTGAGATCAAATGAATTTATGATTAAATAGTTTCATCTTACATAATCAGTTAGCTAATTCCATGCATATTTTATGGACAATTTAAAAGTGAAACATTCTGATAAGGTGAACTAAGTTTTTCATTGTTGATACAAATAGTGTTTTTTTAAGACTGTTACCTTACCAATTAATTGTTGGACAAACAAAAGTCTAAAAATCATGAGCTGTATCTTTTAGGTCAAGTAAATAAGAATAATAACCTCTAGTTTTGTCTTGGCCATGTAAGGCTTTTGAGGATGATTTGGATTATTTTTGTCAGCAGATTTAACCATTTTTCTTTTTCTAAAAAGTTTCTCCCTCTTTGTCGGTAGGTGCCTGACGATTTGTGAGTTCCAAGTGATTATTCTGTGGAATCATCTTTCCTTGCCTTTGAATTATCTTTTCCTAGGCAATGAGTGAACATCCGTATTTTATACATCCAAATTGGTAGGTCTTTCTTGAAATCCTTCTGTGCATTTTTTTCTAGACATATAATTGAAGTGTAAGAAATTATAGATTTATATTGTGATTGTTTTTACAGCTTCTGAAATCTTCAGGAAGAGATTTAATGACGTTGAAATACCAGCCAATTGCAGTGTTTGGTTTTGTAGAATTACTTAATGCAATGTGTTTCTCATAGTATGCTTTCTAACCTTGGAGGGTGGTGGGAGTCTGTGACTAAGTTATTACCCTGTTATACATCACACTAAAAGCCCAGCCTGGGCATTTGTAAACCTTGGGGAGGTTTCTACACTAGACAACATTTTTTGTTGGGGGATTACACCACAGTCGATTCCCTCCATTTCTTCCTCTCTTCCTGGCCCCCCTCCACCCAACATGGAGCCTTTTCAACTTCTTCAAAGAAGTGGGGAAAAAAAGTAGACTCTTTATTAATGGCAGAAAACAAACTGGCTGCTGGACTTCCGAAGCAGCTCTCTAATAATAAAGCAGAGTAGGCACTGCGACAAAGAATTCCTGAATGTACTAAATATATAGGGAAGCCTATTTAAATTCACCAGAGGGGCTTAGAGAACAAGCAACAGAAAGTTTAGAATTCAATTCAAGCCATGCCAGAAAATGAAAATGTACTTTAAAAAGGATTTCTGAAGCAAGTGTTCAAAGAAATGTCAACTTTTAAAGTTCTTTCTAGAAGAATGAAATTTGTACTCTAATTTATGCAGTGACTTTATCAATTAGAGAGGGAAAATGATTAACAGAATCTCAAAGGAATTGTATTTTATGTTTAGAGAATACATGTTTTCTTTCCATAGGATGTGCACCAGTGAAGGCCACCTAGTGCACTGACTAAAAACAACCCAAGTATATAGGTGGGACAAAGAGATCATTAATATTTTAGCAATTAGACATATAACAGAAGTGCTGGTCCTACTGTGGAAGAAAGATAATCAACTTGTATGTTCTTTTCAGTTCATTTTCTTGCATTCAACTCTATGATGTAAAATAATTTTTAAAAATGTAATGAGTAAATCAGAAAGAAAATTACTGATAAATAATATGACTATTTGAGTCTAAGTTTGAGAGATAAAAAGTGATCTCCACCTTTTATCTCAGTTATTAATTTTTTAAAAATCCCCTTGCCCTTTATTTGCCATTTATTTATTTGTTTGTTTGTTTGTTTGTTTGAGTCAGGATTTTACTATGTCTCCCAGGCTGGAGTGTACTGGTATGATCACGGCTTATCACATACTCAACCTCTTGGGTTCAGGCAATCCTTCTGCTTCAGCCTCCAGAATTGCTGGGACTACAAGTATGTGCCATCACACCTGGCTAATTTTGTTTTGATTCTTTTTTTTTAGAAACGAGGTCTTGTGATATTGTCCAGGCTGGTCTCAAAATCCTGAGTTCAAGCAATCTTCCTGCCTTAGCCTCCCAAATTACTTACATTTCAGGCCTGAGCCACTGCATTCTGCTTATTTACCTATTTATAAGATGTGTACATCTATAAGAAATACCCAATTTATTAGACTAAATATTTTATTTGCCCTGATGCTTACATAAAGAACTGCTCATAAAGTTTATTTAAGGCCAGTATGGCTTTAACTCAAGGATGCAATTGTTTGCAGACTTTTCCTGAATAACCTTTTTAAAAAATACCATAGATATTGGAGAAAAGATTGATGCTTTTTGTCATCAGGGGTTGTAAATTTTAAAGAGAATGGAGTCTTGGACTTACTGGTGACCATCTTTATTGCCTTTGTGGAGATTCTACTTGAGAATAAAGCCCACATGAACCTGAACTCCTGGCCTCAAGTGATCCTCCTACCGTGGACTCCTAAGAGCCTCCCAGCCCTTCACGTTGTATTAACCAATTCATAAATATGATGTATCAGCTCACAATAAGCTGTTTGTTTATTAATTCATCCATTCTTTGTACCCTTATCCAAGTTCCCTCTGCCCTCTCTGCCTCTGCCTCTCTCACCTGATCTCTCTCCCACTTCCTTTCTCTTTCTCTTCCCTGCGTTGACTTCATTCTCAGGTAGGCTCTCTCCCTGTAGGGGCAAAGATGGCCACTGGAAACGTCATACTTGCATCATGCATCATTGCTACAGCTTGTGATTTCAGAAGGAACAAACAAAAAAGGTTCTCTTTACCTCAAAATCAATTTCAATTGTCAGAAAGCATCTGATAGGTTCTGTTTTGGTCACATGCCCATCTGTGGAGCCACTTTGCTGTCCAAGCAAGGATTGCAGTGATTGGACAGCCAGTGTAGGGAGGCAAAAGATGAAGATTACCCTATCAAGGCCCTGAAGAGTGAGTGAGGGTCTGTCTGTGGCAGAAAGTGAGAGAAATTAAGAGCAGGCAGCAATGTAATGGGACACATAACCGCAACACAATTTTTAATCGCTTAGCAGAATGATATCTTACAGGCTTTTATCTAATAGCTTTTTTGGGTAAATTTGGTGTTACCTGTCAAGACACAATCTTATGAGAGAGGAGGGAAGAAAGAGGTGGCCCCATAATACTAATAAGGCTACCTGATCCCAAACCAGGTGAAGTAAGAACCAATGGGAAGCTAAAACTTCACTTGTATGATGACCACTTTCGTACCTAACCTTAAATTGTACCCCACATCTTTAAAATAAAAATAAAATAAAACTACAAAAGAAAAAAAGATACAATCTTAGGTTATAACACCAAATGTCCTCTATAGAGCATGGAAAATGTCTGCTGCAGCATGTCTCAATCTTGAATGTCAGGAAGATTAATTATTTTTGATTAACATTTTTATGAGCATTTAATATACAGAATACATCAAGAAAACCAGTTTTCGGTCTAATTTAGAAATTTAAAGTTTTTTAAATTCAAGATTAATAGAAATTGGTTGGTAAAGAAGAGATGATGGGGATGGTGGTTTCATTCTCTAGTCTAAATGTGTCTATCTTTGGTCACTAAATATTTAGGTCATTCAGTTACAGCAGATTTTATATCCTTCTCTCATTTACATCCAATATTAAGGAGATTTATGTTGCTGATTGTTGGAAACCTTTTATTTTTGTTTATGAATTGATTCCTTCCCATTCTACTATTTTACATTTATATACACACACGCGCATGTGTGTGTATACATGTATGATGTGCATTTGATGGCTACAGTTATGTGACTAGGATGTTAGATTCTTATACCTTATCCTTTATTTTGTTAACTCTGTTGTTTATCATTGTATGACTTGGACAGTTTTATAACACTTTACTATCAAGAACTACAATTTAGGAATCTTCCTCAATGAGAAAAAGATTAATTTGCTATGAATAATGATTCCAATGCAAAACATTTGGGGTATTTTGTGATGCAGATGAGCAAAGCTATAAATATAATTTAGGGAGTTTGAACATTTATTTTAGCATTCACAGTTCTTCTTACTAATTAATCAAATTACAAAATTATGCTGTGGCTTCCAGTATATTAAAATAAGTTGTCATATTTGGAACATCTGTTTATGGCTCTATTATGAATATGTGTTTCTAAAGGGATGAAGTATAGATTGCCATAAATAATGTTTGTAATTTATTCTGTGGAAGGATGATACCTACTTCCCTTCACAATGCTTGTTTATTTCCCACAGAGTAAATCTTCTAGATTGTATTTTATCATTCCCTTATCAAGACAGAGGAAAAAAGTCTCCCGTCTCAGTAAAGCCTTGCTGATTGGTTAAGAAAAGAGGTGGCTGTCATCAGCAGCCTTCCCAGACACTGTGCCGTGGCTCCAGACAGTCAGCTGGTACTATCGCTTTGTCTCAACTATAAATCATAGTCTCCTAATGGCCAAGGCTGACACCTTGACATTTTCAAGAAGAGTAAAAGACCTGATTTGAATTAAAATCCATTTTATTTCACAAATCTTGGGTTATTACTCCAAGCTTTTTCTGGTGTCTTCTTGAGACTTATTTGGGATTTTCATGATGATCAAAGGATTATTTGAATGTTATATTATCACTTATTTTATCTGTAAAACCATATTCTTACTTCTTTCTTAGTTCTTAACATGGGAAAATTGATTTCTAAGATTTTATTTGAGAAAAAATTCACTAATAAGCAGGATATTATTTTAACCAGAATGCATCAATGGTTTTGAAAATGACAATAGCAGCTACTGCTGTTTAGTTTTGCAAAACTTATGTAAATTTTTTTGTAATTCTAAAAATATAAACCGTGTGCATACATGCCCAAATTAACCTTTGATTAGTAGTAAATATTACCAATTATCAAGTGATTTTGAACTTCAATCAAGAAGATCTTCAGCTTAAAATCTTCTGAAAAGTATTTGCATTTTTATGTTCTTGGATATAACAAGAACATTTTAAGCATTAAATTTTAAGTATTTTAGAGCCAATAATGACTGACAAGTACTTAATTATGTTAGATGGGTCCTCACATTAAACTGCATTCGATTTTTTGACCATTCAACCCAAGTGATATAGGCATAACTTTATACTTTACTAGTATGAAAGAAACGTTATTTTTAGGTATTTTAGGAACTTGGGATTGAATGGTTAAAAAAAATTTAATTTGCTTTGCTATGCCTTCCAAATTTAGGAGAATACTACTGTTTCTTCAAGAACATACAGAAGAAGAAACTTCTATTTTCTTAGTATTTTGACTTCATCCATTTCCAAGAGTAATCTAAACTCAGCGAAGCCTTGAGTCACATCCCTTTAGAAACAAATATCAATAGAGAATTTGGGCATTACCTCTGTCTATTTTATCAGGTATGGAAGAATTACCACAATGCCTGGTAGTAATTTCTCTTCATCTTCATTATTAGTCCTTAACTGTGTCTCAAATCATGCTTCTAAGCAGGAACACACTGTGATTGTTAAATTTATGATTTTGCAAATCCCCATGAACAAGTAGAATTTTCGATAATTATAGATGAGAGACTCCCAGTCCTTAAGTGTTTTTGATCCCTTTTTTGTTTTTGCTTATCT